TCTCCCCCCACCAGAGGCAGGAGATGATTTTTCTCTGATTATCACAGTAAGAACCCAGTGGAACTCCTGGAGGCAAAACTCATGAAAGTTGGCACACCTCTGGAGTTTTAAACTCTCAAGCTAGTCCACATCGAGCCTTTACAATTCATCAATTGCAGTTTAAGTTTTCATATGGTTACTGGCTCCAGGTAAGGGCTTCTCCTCGTCTTCTGCTTCCAGGAAGCTGTGATTCTCTGTATTCACCTGTCTCTTCAGATTTCTGGAGAGCAGTTTTCCCTGTGACCTCAATTCTCTAAGACAAGTTGTTGATTTTCAGTTTGTTCGGCTTTTTCCTTGTTGTGAGGATGGAGTGTGACTTCCAAGCTCTCTGCATGGCAGACCAGAAGCTAGAAATCCTTCACTGTCTCTTCTATGCATTATTGTTCCCAAGGCCTTGACGCCACCAGAAGGCCAAGCAGGTAACATTTAGTGCACAAGCCAAGATGTGTTTAATGCATGATATCACAACATGACTTGTTCATTTTCATATCATGGTTTAGATTATTTAAAATGTTGTACAGGCCTGGAAAGCCTCTAAGCAATACTGGAAACACCTGTGCCTTATGGAATTTGGACTGGCATGTTGAGGTTCTGTTGTGTGGGAACCCTTTTGAAAATCTCCAAAGGCAGATGGCTCCTACAACAATCCTCATATACATGTCCCCATCTGCAGTGTGGTTCCTCTGCTCCTTCCTTTGGGTCTGACCTTGAAGATAAGTCTCTCTGAGAGATGGAATTCCCACAGCTCCTCTGAGCAAGTTCTTGGAGCCACTAACACTGTGATGTTCCAGAAATCCTTTTCCAAATCAAGTTAACAGAGGAAGGAAGCAAATAAATTAATAGTTTGAGGAAAAAAATGTTAGTATGGGAAGAAAATTAATTCAATTTTATAACTGACACTAGGACCTTTTGTAGGTGCTTTGGGATGTTTTAAGACTTTATACTTGGGTGATTTAGCTTTCCAGATCCTGTTATTTGTGATGATTGTCGAGGGTATTTCTTGATTCCTGTATTTAGAGTAGAAACGGGAACACTTGACTTCTCTCTGGTGCTTATAGAATAGCCTCCTTTTAGAGATTCTAGTATTTCCAAGTGCCTACTTCTTGCCTTGCAATTTAGTTAACTGGTTATTCCATGCAGTAATGTTATTACATCCTTGATATCCAAAGTCTCTGTGGTTTGAGATTGACCTAGCAAAACCGGCCCCCTGGACTTGGACATATCCCCACCAGGCAAAGAAATCACAGTAACTGCAAACACTTCTGGAGATTATTTCAAATTTGTTTGGGTACTCATTGTGATTTAAAGTTCCAGAGGGATCAGAATTTGTCCAGTTGATATTTTGCAATATTCTCAGCATCTGTAATGCTTATAAGAACTATGAGTATATCTAACAAGAAAGAAAGAATTTCAGGCCAAGGTAAGTGGCTCACGCCTGTAATACCAACACTTTGGGAGGCTGAGGTGGTTGGATCACCTGTGGTCAGGAGTTCAAGACCAGCCTGGCCAACATGGCGAAACCCTGACTCTACTAAAAATACAAAAATTAGACAGGTGTGGTGGCACACACTGGTAATCCCAGCTACTTAGGAGGTTGAGGCAGGAGAATCGCTTGAATCTGGGAGGTGGATGTTGCAGTGAGCCAAGATCATGCCACTGCACTCGAGCCTGGGTGACAGAGCGAGACTCCATCCCCCCAAAATTTTTTAACCAACTTACTACCCAGTAATTCAGAGAAGAACTATGAACAAGTGATTCATAAAAACAGGGCAGGGTAGGCCGGGTGTGATGGTTCAGGCCTATAATCCCAGCACTTTGGGAGGCTGAGACGGGCGGATCACGAGGTCAGGAGATTGAGTCAATTGGGTCAGGGATACAGGTCAGAGATTAACAAATACAAAAACTTAGCCAGGCACGGTGGTGGGCGCCTGTAGTCCCAGCTACTCTGGAAGCTGAGGCAGGAGAATGGTGTGAACCCAGGAGGTGGAGCTTGCAGTGAGCCGAGACTGCGCCACTGCACTCCAGCCTGGGTGACAGAGCGAGACTCCGTCTCAAACAAAACAAAACAAAAACCAAAAAAAAAACAGGGCAGGCTCAAGTGCAAAATTCAATCACCTTGGTATGTTCCTGGATTTATTTTTGTTTCCCAAAGCCCTTTATGTGAAGTGGTGGACTTGAGGCAGAAAGAGCTGGTCAACTAGTTTAAAACATAAGAAGAATAACAATTTGTGGTGACTGGCTCTTACTACATGCCAGGTACTGTGCTAAATATTTAACGTAAATTATTTCATTTCATTCTCTTGACAATCTTATGAAAACGGTGCTATTGTATTTTCATTTTACAGATGAAGAAATTGAGGTCAGAGAAATAGAGTCCAAGTTCTTACAGCTACAAAGAGACAGGGTTCAGCTTTGAACCCAAGGACCTTAACTCTAGGACTAATTTAACCACTGTACTATATCAAGAGGTAGTGCAGTCTCTTATCTTCAGGTTGTTCCCTATTTGGTCTAATATGAGCAGCATCAAAAAGTCCATTCACCTACATCTATCTTGTCAAATGCAAGATGACACTCATGTGGTATGTACTGGTGATGCTTGCCTTCCTGCATGTAAAGGTGAGCTCTCCTGGGGCCTGGGAGTAAAGGTGGAGATAACTTACTAAACACCTTAGTTCTGAACACCTTAGTATTTGTTATAGATTGATTGCTTTTATTGATGAGGGCATCTTAAGTCTAAAGTCAGATGTTTAGAACTGAATGTTTTTGTTCATGCACTCACCATAGCCTTGCCACTATCTGGCTGTGTAGAACTCAGGCAAGTTCGTAAAGCTCTTTGTGCTTGCATTTTCTCATGTATAAAATGGAGGTAATGATAGAACCGACTACATAAGATTGTTGTCAAGATTAAATGAGATAATATATAAAAGGCACCTACCCAGTGCCTAGTATGCAATAAGCCTTCAATACTTGTTATTATTATCACTCTTAGACCAATGAGATAAAGAGGAGGTCAAATCTCATTCCCATTTGATACATTCTTGCTCAGATTTATCTTCAGAATGGAAACCACAAGTTCACTTAATTGCCCTCCTTTGGGACTTGCCAACTGTCTGATAATCCTCCTCAAGTCAACTATCAGGATTCTCCAAAGCCATTGTATTTATTTTTTTTTCATAATGTGTGTTTGGGGATAGAAGAGGAATATGATTGGTATTTTCAACCGTTAGAATGGCATGAAACTCTCCAAAAATAAGAAGCCCAGCAGTTGGCAACATGGTGGTGTTCTTAGATTCCCAAGTTCACATCCTGTGAGGTTTGCCATTGTCACAGCTCTGGGTCTTTGCCTAGGCTGTTCCTTCTGCTTTAAAGTCTCTTGTTCCATGACAGTTCTACATTGGTCTTGCTTGTCTACCTGTTAAACCCCTACTGCTTTATAGCAAACATTTGTCTTTACTTCTCTTCTTTTTCATTTGATCCAGAAGCTAATCTGTCTTCCTGCAATGGGAAATATGCCATGGTGTGACTTTTGGTAGGCTAAAGGAGTCCTCTCTTTACAGAGGCAAAACCCTGGCAATGTGAGTGCTGGCATGTTGTCTAAGATGCTTTTCCCTGAGAATTTGAACCTGGAAAGAAATTATAAAAATAATCAAAAGACATTCTGTGGCACCTACATGGTATACAGGGTCCCATAGTGGGTATACTATGACTCCATCAGTGGTGTGCTGGAACCAGCTGGTACAGGCTTCCCAGAACCAATTCTTAAAATTTCCAGATTTGCATCAGTTGTTAAACATATTTATTATGAATTACTAAATTACACAAACTAATAACTACATAAATTATACTATAAAAAAGGTAAGAGATTTTCAAAGTCATCAGTTCCTAATTCTTATGCCTTTGTGGTTATTTATGCTTGTCATAATATGATTAACATATATATATGTGATATCATATATACACACATATATATATCACATATATATGATAAATTCTATATAGTGGTGTGGTGTGTTACTGTTCATTTTTTCCCAGCTCTAATTCAGTGATACCATATTGGCAGCTTGAAATCACCCACAGTGAAAATATTTACACCATGAGAATTGGCAAATGTTACAAATCAGGTTTTTTTTTTTTTTTTTCTTCTTGGAAAGCTAGTCTCTAACATTTACCAGCACACCACATCCAGTGTTTAATGGTGGTGATGCCAGGCTCACCATCTACAGTCCAGATAGCAGCAGGGTGTCCTCACCGGCCTGTATGTCCATGACTGTGACCATCAGACTCACATTGTTTCTACCTCCATCCTGCGCCTGACCCTCTAGTTTTCCTAAAAGTCTGTGAACTCATCTCTATTCCTCCAATATAGACCGTCCCCAACTTACGATGCTTTGACTTAAAATTTTTCAACTTTACAATCGTGTGCAACTGTCATTATTTTGACATAATGTACAGTATTTGACAAGTTACATGAGCTATGCAACACATTATTATAAAATAGGCATTGGGCTAGATAATTTTGCCTAACTGCAGGCTACCATGTTATGAGCATGTTTAAGGTAGACTAGGACAAGCTGTGATGTTCAGTAGATTATTTAGATGCATTTTTGACTTACGACATTTTTAACTTAAGATGGGTTTATCAGGATGTAACTCCATTGTAAGTCAAATAGCATCTGTATATTCCGTTTTTGCTCAAGTTAACCCATTTCTATTTCCAAGTAAGAATCACAGCAGTTTTATCATATTTTCAAAATCTATCACAGACAACCAACTCTGACACCCCTCACCATATGTACATACTTTCCTTTTGCTACATGTAGCTGTTATTCAGGCTTCTATATTTGCACCGAGCACAGCATTGTAATATATTTGTTTATACCTCTGTGTCCTTGAAGCTAGGAACCTTGTCTTATTTACCTTTATTTCTCAAGGTGCTATCACCAGGCCCACAACAGAGAAGGTCATAAATAAATTATTTATTTACTTATAAATAGTAAGATTTACTTATAAATAAATAATTGTTTGTAATGATTAAACAGTTCATAATTATTAAACAGTAATAATTGCTTGTAGTTGTTTGTTGATTTTCTTCATAAGGAAGCTGGGGGTTGTGTGGTGGCAGTTGTGGATGCATTCCATTGCTCATGGGACCAACACTTCTGAAATGACCTCCAACATCACTGTGATTCAGGAAAGGTGAATAGGGACATGCAATTTGAATCCTCCTTTGTTTACTGTAGCTGAAGCTGCATGACTCAGAAACTCTGTGGAGAAGGGACAGGAGAGGATATGGTGATGTTATCATTCAGAAACTGAATGATAATGTCCAGTAAATCTTCCACTCAAAATAAAAATCTATGCTTAGGAAGAATAAAAGAAAAGGTCAGATTCAAAAATTAAAGAGCATGAACCAAAAAGCAACAGCACAAAAAACGGTTGATGGCTAACCAAAAGAAAACTATCAATGATAGGAAAAATTGAAGAAGAATATACAGAAAGAAAACCAGAGAATATATATATAAGAACACAGCCAAAATATAAAGTATCTTTAATTTTGAAAGGAGTTTTGATTGTCTCCTTATGTATGAAGGATTTTATGGGCTGTACTTAAATTTAATCCAGTGCTTTCAGAATAAGGCAAGGGAATGTAGTTCTATCAGTAATATTTGTAATCTGAATTAGGGACTTTGTTACTAGCACCCTTCGAATTAATGTGGTCAGATATAGTTTTAATTGACACAATAATTTTCACAGTGGGTGTAATGATTTATATAAATGTAAATCCAAAATTGTACTCTGATCTAATCAGTCTACAATTACTGTTGAAGTAAACATGTGAACTGTATTGTCAAGGGAATAAATCTAATGAAAAAGCTGCAGGGAAAATTGCTTATTATGCTCATAAAAGATAAAGGAATCAATATGAGGTCTGTTTGTTACATGGTTTTGCATAACTTATTAACTGAACAGACATTTAAAGGATTTTCTAAGTTTTCTCTGAATTGTCAGATAAGAATGTTAGAAGCAGAACAGATAAAATAATGAATGTAAAAGTTCTAAATATTAATACATTAAAACAATAAAGTATAAAGAGTATCTAGAACAGCAAGAATCTCTAAAATGGTAAAGTGGGGATGCACATAAAAGCCCATAACACATAAAAATATTCCTTCATAAAAGCAGTGAGAACATTGGAAAAAAAAATGTCAACAAACTTGTTCAGAACTTTGAAAATTAAGCAGTCTTGCAACAATTCAAGGAGTAAAATTTATTTAAGAAACACTGTTTACATCTTGGTACAAAAAGGGATACTTAAAAAACAAACTTTATTGAAGTATAATTTACCTACCATAAATTTAACTCATTTTTAGCTGTGCAACCAGTGATTTCTACTAAATTTATTATGTTGGAAAACTATCACCATAATCTAATTGTAGAACATTTCTATCCCCTCAGTAAGATCCCTTATGGCCTGGCATGGTGGCTCATGCCTGTAATCCCAGGGCTTTGGGAGGCTGAGGTGGGAGGATTGCTTTAGTTTAGGAATTCAAGGCCAGCCTGAGCAACATGGTGAAACACTGTCTACAAAAACCACACATATTGGCCGGGTGTGGTGGTCTGTGCCTGTAGTTCCAGTTACTCTGGAGGCTGAGGTGGGAGGATCACTTGAGCCTTGGAAATCAAGGCTGCAGTGAGCCATGATGGTACCATACCACTGTACTCCACCCTGGGTGACAGAGTGAGACCCTGTTTCAAAAAAAAAAAAAAAATCCCTAATGCCTGCCATGAATTTGAGAGTTATTATAAAGGATGCCTTAAATGCCAAGAACTCACACATAGACATAGACCTTCCTTTTGTTCTTTTCCTTTTTTAGTCTATCCCAGTCATTCTCAAATTCATGGCATATTCTAGTTATTAAACGACATGTGGATTTTTTTGTGGATATTTTAAAGTATTTTAGGGGTAATTTTTACTGTATTTTATTTTTGCTTCATGTAGGACATTAGATTCTTTAGATAATCATAATTAAAATTTGCTATCTTCTTTAACCCAATGGTTACTAAGAAAACATTTATTAAATATCCAAGTGGCTGAGATTTTTTGTTCAATTGTTTAAACATTGCCAGTAGTTTGTAATCTTGTTGTGTTTTATTAAAAAATGGAATGTTGAAGTTTTGCTTTGGATTTAGTGAAAAGAACTTGAAGCTAGTTATGGTCATTATTTTAAATGCTTAATGAACACCTAAAAGACTATGTTAGCTTCAAAATATAATACATTTCATTGTATTATTAAAATTATCTAAATCTTTATTTATATTTTCTCATTTGATGTGTCAGTGACTAAGATAGGCGTACCATTATAATTATGTTTTAGTCTATTTCTCTGCTTAAAAGTCTTAGAATTTTTTCTTCATTTGTTTTGGTGCTTTGCCATCAGGTACATAAACTCTCATGCTTTCATGACTCCCTTGTACTAGCTTATTATGACTGGATTTTGTATTATAGTTTTAATAAATATAAAATTACATATCTAAGGATTTTTTCCTGTCAAAACTATCACCTCAACTACATCTTTTTTGCATTTGAATGGAACTTATCTTTGAGTTTTAAAATTTCTATATCCTTTTGTTTTTCGTCATATTTTTTATAAACAACATATAGTTAGTTTTAATTTAGAAAGTGGGCTAGATATATTTTACTATGAGCACATAAAAACTAACCTCACACTTTTTGTTTTGTTTTGTTTTTGAGACAGAGCCTTGCTTTGTCGCCCAGGCTGGAGTGCAGTGGCGAGATCTCGGCTCACTGCAACCTCTGCCTCTTGAATTCAAGCCAACCTCCTACCTCAGCCTCCTGAGTAGCTAGGACTACAGGCATGTGCCACCACACCCAATTAATTTTAGTATTTTTAGTGGAGATGGGGTTTCACCATGTTGGCCAGGCTGATCTTGAACTCCTGACCTCAGGTGATCCACCTGCCTCAGCCTCCCAAAGTGCTGGGATTACAGGCGTGAGCCACCACACCCAACCAACCTTACACTTTTTAGCTAATGCACTGTATTCCATTACCTGTATACCATTACTCAGTAACTTCCTATGAGTAAGCATTTGGGTTATTTCCAGTTTGAATCTTTGGTTATTATAAATGTGGTGATGAACAAAATCATATGTATAGCTTTCTGTATGTGAAATTATGTAAATAAAATGAATTACATGCAATGGTGTTTGTGGATTAAAAGATAAGTGTATTTTAGTTCCTTGATATTGCCAATGTATCCATCAAAAAATTTACATTGGATATGGAAAGTACAACAGGCTATAATTGTATGCAGATTTATTTCTCTTCCCATTCAGCTATTAAAGATAAGGAGACACTATCTGCTGGAAGAGAGAAAACAATCCAATTTATTTTTCTTCCAAATGAATAACTGATATTTCCAACATTATTAAATAATCCTTATTGCTTTTTGAAATGTCATTTTCATTATATTTTGACTTCCCATATAAAATGAATAGACTTCTAATCGGTATATTTTTCCAGTATCATGGTGATGTACCATATTGTTATGATTTCTTTTTTTTTTGAGAGGGAGTCTTGCTCTGTCACCCAGGCTGCAGTGCAGTGGTGCAATCTCCACTGCACTGCAGCCTCCACCCTCTGGGCTCAAGCAATCCTCCCACCTCAGCCTCCCAAGTAACTGGGACTGCAGAGGCATGCCACCATGCCCAGCTAAGTTTTTGATTTTTTGGTAGAGACAGGGTTTTATCATGTTGCCCAGGCTGGTCTCAAACTCCTGAGCTCAAGAGATCCACCTGCCTTGGTCTCTCAAAGTGCTGGGATTACAGGTGTGACCCACCGTGCCTGGCCATATTGTTATGATTTCTATTATTATGGTTTCTTTCTAATTTGGTCTTGAGGTATTTCTCTTGGGTGTGGCCAAAAGCCAAGATAGACCTCTCTACAAGAGCCCTGATGGGGGAGTTAGGTTTGGTTGTGTGTGTCGGGTGAGACGCAATGAGGAAGTTAAACTAAAATGCACAAAACAGAAGAAATTCATTGCTTATAGGTCCCAAAAGGGTTAGGAGTACCAAGAGGACATCTGGGAATGGCAAGGAGCTTCACCAGTAGGTGGAGAGAGAGAGAGTGGGGACCCGTGGGTGTTATGCCTTAGGCTTTCTTGTGGGGTTGTGGATTGGGTAGTTTTAAAGAAAACATACACAAATTGGGGAGTGTATTTACATGTCTCTGGTTTTGACCATTAGGTTTTATCATGATAAGCAGTTATGGCGTGTGCTGGGTTTGGGGTCAGTGAACGAGGAACAAGCATGCCACGTTACAACAAACACTCGGGGAGGGAAAGTTTTAGCTAGTCTGAAGGTGACAGGGTAGGACTGAGTTTCAGACACCTTATGTCAGACCTAAAATTGGATATCAAGGCAGCAACTATACTAAACAAATTTATGATACAAACTTTTTAAAAAACATTATTTTAGCTTTGTATGTTAATATATATCATATCACAGTTTGCACTTCAATTATACCTCATTTACATACACATGGCAATGACAGAAAAATATAAAAATAGAAATCAAAAACATTGTTATATAAAAAATGTGATATACATTTTTTGGTTAACCCTTATTGGAACAAAAAAGTGAAATGATGAATGATGTGTGTGGCTAAAGCTATTGAGCTGTTGCTCTCTGAATTATGAAGTGGATTGTGTTGGTCAGGGCCTTGACTCTGTGTAGTAGAGGGGACAAAACTATTTCATACAACTGAGGGGCTCGAGACAGGCTTACTACTTCTTGAAGTGAGGAGCTGGAGTATACCACTCTCAAACCCAGTTTTGAAAGCAGACAAACAGGTAAACTGAGGCCAATTTATGCATGGAGCATGAAACCAGCATTAACTTCATACCCAAGCCAGGTACAGATATAAGGAAATTAGAGATAAATACCTTGTGAATACAGATGTAAAAATCCCCAAGAAAATACTAGAAAATGCAATACAGTAGCATATTAAATGGATTGAACACCATGGCTAAATGGAATTATTCTAGAAATGCAGCATATGAAAACCAACCAATGTAATATATCATCTTAGTACAATGGAAGGAAAAACTCACATAATCATCTCAACTGATGCAGGAAAAGCATCTGACAACATCCAACACCCTATCATGATAAAAAGAAAAAAAAAACACACACTCAAAACACTAAGACAAAGGGAACTTTCTCAACATGATGAAGGGTATTTAT